TGAGCTGGATCTGAGGACCTGAGAGCAGGAGAACTGGCCTAGCTACTAGCTGCAGGCTGCATTTAGTGAGCTAGCTAAGGCAGTGCTGGAGAGCTCGCCCAGGCAGTGACAATGAGGAAAAGCTGGCCAGCTGACCAGCCCAGCTACCTCCCAGGCCCAGAACCAGGGCTATGAGTTAGCCCACCCCAAAACCCATCTCATCTGTGAACTGTTGGAGCATGTGAAGGGACCAAACCTATAGATCCAAAACTGCAGGACAACATGACACAGAACAAAATAGGATATCCAAGGGGAGCCCCAGTGAGGGCCCATTATCAATAGTGTAGCAGAAGCCAGAGGCCTCGAACAAGAACAATGACTCATAGTAATGAACATTACAAGATGAATGGGCTAAAGGGTCAACTGTGACTCAATGGGCCACACTCCAGCTTCCATGACAAGACTCTCATTTTTGTTGTTTGGTTTGGGTATTGGCTTTTCTTTTAAATTTTGTTTTGGTGGTGAGGTTGCAAGGGCAGAGGGCGAATGTGAGGGGATGGGCAGATAAGTGGGATTGGGATGCATGATATGAAATTTATAAAGAATCAATAAAAGTTAATTAAAAAATAAAACAGAAAGAAATGTGGCCAGCCATGCATCCCATTCCTAATGTGCACTCTAGAGCAGTGGTTCTCAACCTGTGGGTCTTGACCCCTTTGGTGTCAAATGACCCTTTCATAGGGTTGCATATCAGATATTTACATTATGATTCATAACAGTAGCAATATTATAGTTACACAGTAGCAATGAAAATAATTTTATGGTTGGAGTCACCACAGCATGATTGGGTCGCAGCATTAGGAAGGTTGAGAACCACTGCTCTAGAGTTACTGTCCCATACAGTTGTCACCAACCATGAGAAACTTTTGACTACTTGAAATCTGACTAATCCATATTGAGAAACACATAACAGACTCATTAAAATCTGTATTTACATAAGAAATAAGACAGTTCATTAATTTTATTTTGGTTCTATATTAAAATGGGTATGTTGGATAGATTGGGTTAAAACATTTAAGAGTCAGTGAATGCCAGGCAGTGGTGGCACATGCCTTTAATCTCAGCACTTGGAAGGCAGAATCAGGTGAATTTCTGAATCTACAGCCTGGTCTACTGAGTGAGTTTCAGGACAGCCAGGACTACACAAAGAAACCCTGTCCCAAAAGTAATTAATTAATTAAAGTAAAAATTAAGAGCCTATGAGATATCTCAGCAGGTGAGGCCTCTTGATACCAAGCTTAATGAACTGAATTTGATCTGAACCACTTCTCAAAAGTTGTCCTCTGACTTCTATATATGTGTCATAGCATATGTGCAGTGATTCCTCACCACACAAAATAATTTACATGTGTATGTATAGACACCGGCGCGCACACACACACACACACACACACACACACACACACACACGCACGCACGCACGCACGCACGCACGCACGCACACGTACAATCTCAGCATTTTAAGCTTATTACTTTCTTTTTCTGCCAGGTTCTTGCTATGTTTCCTAAAGTAGTTCCTGGAAGGTGTTAAACGACATGTGTGACTTTCTCTTACGGTTCTGTTATTATTCTGCTGGCCAAAGCCACTCACTCTTTAACCCACTCACAGACTGAATGGGGTAGAGAGACCCACACGCAGGCCTGGAATGGACTGCCCCAGGCTCCAAGGAGAAAACACAGCCTGCCTGGCACCTTGTGGCACTAGGAAGACGGACACTGTTATGGTGAGCAAATGGATGGTGTGGTGTGGGGGAGAGACAGATGGAATGGTTCATTTCCTGTGGACAGATGCATATCTGAAGAGCTGAAAGTGGTGAGGAACGGGCTGAGGTGGGTGGCATCCACCCAGGGTCACGGTGATGTCTGAGCCTGGGCTGGTGCCGAGGCCCATGTCTGGGTACATGGCCCCGATGGAGCCATGGTCTGAGTTGATGTCTGGGGCTCCTGATACCACCAAAGGCAGAGAGGATAGCGCTGTACAGCGTTGGCCCTGCTCCTCACTGGCTGCAACTCTAGGAAGAACTGGTCCTGCCCCTCACTCAGAATAGAGGATCCTATACCTCACCTGGGCAGCACAATAGAGCTGACCCTGTTCACAGGAGCCTGGGCAAGCTGGCCCTGAGAGCGTGAGAATGGGAGAGCAGGTCACACCCCTCTAGTCTGCCATGTGATAGCATAGGTGAGGGAAAGATGTCCTTCCTCCCTTGTCCCTCAGCATGGGCGACAGGTGGGGGAACCTGACCCAACCTCTCACCAGGTGCAGCACTTGGGAGGACAGACCTGTGCCTTGCCTGGGCAGCACAGTAGAGTTGTCCCTGTAGACAGGGGCCAGCTGGTGAGCCAGCACTGAAGGCATGAGAGAGGCATAGATGGTACCACCTCCCTCGTGTGGTGGTGGGAGTGAGGGAAAGAGGCCACCCCCCCTTCCCCTACTGGCTCCAGATGGTGAGGGAGCTGACTCTCCCTCTTACCAGCTGCAATACTTGGGAAACTGGGCCCTGTACTTTGTCTGGACAGCACAGTGGAGCTGACCCTATTGACAGGGGAGTAGGTGAGGTGGCCCAAGAGCATGAGTGGGGGAGATCTGGCTCCACCCATCATCTGCCATATGGCAGCATGGGATCCTGCCCCTCTAACCCTGAGGCAGGTGGGAGAGCTGGTCCTGAGGTCATAAGAACTGGAGAGCTGCTCCTGCCCTTCACCACCTAAAGCACTCAAGAGAGCAGGCCCTGCCGCTCACCTGGGCAGGGCGAGGGTGTGGGTGAGCCAACCCTGAAGTTGTGAGCGTGGGAGAGCTGACCACACCCTCCACATGTGCCATGTGGTGGTGAGGGCAAGGAAATGATGCCCTCCCCCTACTTGCCCCTGCCACCTGTGATGGGCAAGGGAGCTGACCCTCCGCCTTACCAGCTGCAGCGCTTGGGAAAGTGGACCGTGCACCTTGCCTGGGCAGTACAATAGAGATGACCTTATTGATGAGGGTGTGGGTGGCCAGTCTTGAGAATACGAGCAAGGGAGGTCTGGCCCCACCCCTCATTTGCCATGCAGTGGTGTGGGCAGGATGATGCCAGCTGGGGGGAATGCCCTCCCTACCCCCACCCCTCGATGCTTGTGGCAGATAGAAGTCCTGGCTCTGAAGTCATAAGGCGGGAGAACTGTCCCTGCCCCTCACTAGCTGTGACACTTGGGAGAGTGGCTTCTCTACCTCACCTGCACAGCACAGTAGAGCTGGTCCTGATGACTAAGGTGTGGGAGAGCTGACCCCGAGGACATGAAAACAGGAGAACCCACCCAGCCCCTTGCTCATTGCTGCAAGGGCTGAACTAGCCAGGGCCATGGAGGAAAGCTCACCCTGGTGGTAAGGACAGGGGAGAGCTGGCAGGCTGACCAACCCTGCAACTACTCAGGCTCAGAACCAAGGTTATGTGTTGGCCCACCCCAACACCCACCCCATCTATGATCTCCTGGAGCACATGAAGGGGCCAGTCCTGCAGACCCAAAGCTGTAGGACCTCTACAACACAGGGCAATGACAGGATATCTAAGAGGAGCCCCAGTGAGGGTTCAGCATCAATAGTGTAGCAGAAACCAGAGGCCGCAAACCAGACCAATGACTCTTGAACACTTGCAATGAAAGGTATATGGATTAAGTGTTCACTGTGTGACTTGCTGTGTCACACTGCAGCTTCCATGATGAGGTTTTTCCTTTTTTCTCTCACTCTTAAATTTTATTTTATTTTCGGGGGGCAGCTTGCAAGGGCAGAGGGTGGACACCAAGGGATGGAAAGATGAATGGCATCAAGATTCATGATGTGAAAGACACAAAGAATAAATAAAAAGAAAGTTTAATTTTAAAACATAAACGATCACCAATTTAGTCAGTGGTATTTGAAATAGCAGAAGCTGGGAATATTAGTGCCTCTAACAAGAAAATAATAAGGATTGCTCATTTGCTGGTTTCTGGAGCCTAGGAAACTGGACTGCTAGGTAAGGGGCTCATGGCTGGTTGTTGGGAGCTGAATTACTAGGTAAGAGGCTCATCGCTGGTTGCTGGAGCCTAGGGAACTGGATTGCTAGGTAAGGGGCTCATGGCTGGTTGCTGGGAGCTGAATTACTAGGTAAGAGGCTCATCGCTGGTTGCTGGAGGCTGGGGGGTTGGGTTAGTTGGTAAGGGCACTTGCTACACAAGGAGGGGGATCTGAACCTGGATCCCTGCACTCATGTAGAAAGCCAGGTGTGGTGACATGCACCTCTAGCCCCAAGGAGGTAGGACTGGAGACAGGAAGATTGCTAGACTTACTGACCTTCAACATAGCTCCAGGTTCAAGATGAGACACCTGTCCAAGGGAATAAGGCAGAGAGTGATGGAGCAGGACACCTGATGTCCTTCAGTAGCCTCTGCATCTGTGTACAGGCCTGTACACCCCTACACATGTATGCACATACCACACATGTATACATCATACACTCACCAAGTTGATAATTAGAATACACTGATGGATTGTTTATACATTAGTAAATTATATGTAACACAATGGAAGGACACTTGACTTCATGCACTGTGGGTGACACTGTAGAACACTGTCATCAGTCACTCAGAATCAAAAATTACTGAAAAAGGAGGCAGATTCTACACATGATGAAGGAATCTGGGGAATCCACTAACTGATTTCGTTGTCCTGTTTTCTTTTTCTATACATGCACAATAGTGAAATCATTCTTTTCTTGTGTTAAATTATGGTAAGGGCTGGAGTTGTAGCTTGGTTGATAGAGTGCTTGGCTAGCATGCATGAAGCTTGGTTCAGTCCTCAACACGACATGAACACTGGCATGGTGCTACAAGCTTGTAATCCCAGCACTTGGGGAGATGGAAGGGCAGTATCACCATGAACTCAAAGGAATCCTTGGGAACAGAGGAAGTTTGAGGCCAACATGGATTATGTGAGACCCTGTTTCAAAAAGAAAAAAAAACTTTTATAAAACACAGGAACTTTGCCATTTTAACCACTACAAAGTGTAGAATCAGTGTGAAGTACATTCACCTTGCAGAACTGACACCAGGGTTAAACTGTAACTTCTGTTCACCTCTTGGCAACCATGCTTTGTATATCGATGAGTTGTCCCACCCTAGGTATCTGATGGTTATCCAGTACCTGACCCTTTTGTGGCTTATTTCACCCTGCACAATGTGTTCAGGCTTGACTCACATTAAAGCAGAATCTTCTTCCTTTCTGAGGCTGAAGAACATTCTGTCCCATATACAGATCACATGTTATGTAGCCATTTGTCCATGGGTGAACAGCCAAGCTCCTTCTGCATTCTGACTTGTGAAGATGATGTTATGACTTTAAATGTACAAAAATATCTCTTTGGTGTTCCTAATTTTTTTTTCACTCTAGAGGGTGGTCATATCTAAAAGAAAGATTGCTGGATCACATAACAATTTGATTATGAATTGATTTTTAAATTTTTTCATTATATTGTGTCCATTATCATCATGTCAGGGAACATGGTGGCATTCAGGCAGACATTGCTGGCTACATTGCGATCACAGGAAGGGAACTGAGTATCATACTGAGTGAAGCTTGAGCATAGGAGACCTCAAAGCCTGCCCCCACAGTGACACACTTCCTCCAAAAAGGCCACACCTACTTCAATAAAGCCACTCCCTATGAGATTATGAGGGACAACTGCATTCAAACTATCACATACTGTATTTATGAAACTGGCTTGGCACTTTCTCTTGTCATATGCCTAGTTGGCAAAGTATATGAGAAATAACCACGTTGTGAAAAAATGATCAAAACCATAAATGTAGTTTCTATACATAATCCACCATCTCCTGCCCTGCCTCCATCTGCTGCTTCCTAGCTCCTTTCCTAAAAGTGACTCAAATAGTCATCACCATAAAGTTTCACCATAATGACTGCCCAAATGTGGATGGCACAAATGGACATGCCAAAGTGGATAGGGGAAAGCTCACGACGTCTCAACCCTACAGAAAGAACTGTAGGAAAGCTGGAAGCAGAAGTGATCTTCTCCAAGAAGAGTACATCATCTGGTGTCCAACGTCTAACAGCCAGCCCTGAAAATAGCATTATGTGAACTCAGCAAGTTAAACTTAGGAGAGAGAGTGCTTGCAATACCAATTAGTGAAAAAAAGAGGCCATAAAGCTGAAGAAGAGTGGAGAGGGGTATCTCTAATCCTGCTGAACTTCCTGACTGTGGCTCAGCCCAGCTAAACTACCTGAAGAGTCACACTCTAACCTGTCATGCTGCCTGCAGTGACCTCTAGATTTCCAGCTTCTGCGATCTGTCACCCATGATGAAGGGTGGATTTCTGGTATTGTAGCTGCCTTTGAGTCATACTTGCTCCTCCTGTAACACCTCACCCATACTCTTATAACAAACTTTCCATAATAAAACACTAGTTCACTAATTCTGAGTTTTATCTGTCATTAATTCCATGTCTGAGTGAATAGACATTTATTTACATCTTCTCGGGCAAAGTGTCATACAGCATTTGTTCTCAACAGAGAAACCCAATTCCAAGGTGAATTCTGTAAATCACTAAAACTAGGTTCATCCAATCTTGTCCCTAGAAACACATTCCTGTGACTGTCCATAAAGCCTAAGAAGGCAAGTCTTGACTGGAGACCTTAAGCCCCACACAGTTACCTGGATTTGTTGCCACTAGATCTTGGCTATTCTTGAATGTTCTTCATTTTATTTTTAATATTTTTTATTTTAGTAAACAATCTTATTTTACATACCAATCCCAGTTCCCTCTCCTTTCCACTCCCCTATCCCCATTTCACCATTCCAACCCCCATCCACTTGGATGATCTTCATTTTAATAAATTGTTATTCTACTTTCAAATTCTCTTAAAGTGATCAGTGTACGTGCTCTCTTTCTCCACTACCATGGGATTTGCTGTGCTCAGCAGCATTTAGTTGTGTTATTGATTGACAAGATTCATTTAAGCCCCAGTTCTCTTTCTTAATTTTTCCCCAGACAACAACAACAACAAAGACAAAACAAAGCAACTGAAAATGCTAACAGCTTTTTATTTAATTCTCAAGCTTCTGTCCACTTTCAATATCCCTGTCACCAATGGTTGTGTCCTTAGCAAAGGGTTCCAGTGACAGTCAGATTTCATTGGATCAGCTGGATAAAGCTGGCAAAAATACATTAAAAATGATCGCAATAATTCCAGCCCCAAATCCAGGCAGATAACAATATTACTCAATAACTTAGCCAAACTGACAAGCAGAACTCGTCCAATGGAACGGTTCATTGGCATTCAGCAGCTAAGATTTCAAGTCCAACTGCTTTAGGTAGTGGTTGTAGATATTTACTTCAAAATCATCTGGAAATCTCTGGCTCCTTGACGTAGCTCCCTTTAAGTCTTTTTGAAAGACATGGTGTCATCATGTACCTCCCTCTGCTTATGATTTCCATTTCCTCAGGCCAGGCCAGCGATTGATACAAAGACTAATATTTGATGACAGATGGCTCTGTGAGCTTCTGGTAAGGCCATATCTCACTTTTGGAATGCAAGTGATAACCAAGTTCCTCTAGAGCCTTATTTATTATACTATTATTGTGCACAAACTCATTAGATTAAAGCATTCTGCCAGTCAACTTGATCCTACTCTTCCCCAGCTGTCATGCTGGCAGCTCAAAGATAGCGACAGATGATACTGACAGACAGAACCTCTGCCATCTCTTGCTTTCCCAAATCCAAAGCTACTCAACCAGGAGAACATGTTGGAAAAAGAGCTAAGGAATCACGGTGCAGCATGCTGCATTTAATCACCACAATGGTCACTAAACAGCACTCATGGGGTTCTGCTGGCAGGCCTTCCTAGCACTAGCAAGTCCACACATCACCACCTTACAAAATCGACCAAAATCTGACTGCATCCTTCTCTCCAGTCCCATAAGGATGCTGCCAGTTCCGCATGTAGTCTGGACTCTGGCCTGAGAACCAATCTTTCTCCCAGTTTAGATATGCCTGTATCCAGTCTTAATGCACAAACACTTCTCACTGGCATTCGTGCAACAATATAGCAATCATTTATTCAACCACTCATTCCATAGGCGCATTCATCAAGGAGGACTTGTTGTGTGCCAGAGTCTACTCCGGGCCAGATACAGAAAGATGGATTTGGTCTCTCCCCTTACAGATTTGTCTGTCTCACAGGAAAAAAAAGAAAAGAAAAGAAAAAAATCACCTGGATGTGAATTGTTTAGAGTGATGTTTCAGCTGCTAGAACAGATGGACAACCAAATATAGTGAGTGACGGCTCAGGGAATACTGAAGTTTGTTCTTTAATCATAGATTAGCCCCAGGGTAGCAGGTGGCTCTGTTAACTTGGTTTAGACAGACTTCAGAACTCAGAAGCTGGAGTTCTTTCCATTTTGCTCTTCCACCATCTCCAGGGTACCATACTGGTCTGTGTGGACAAGCTGGGGCTATCTATAGGCAATAAAAGTAGAAGTCCTAAAGGAGAGTTCCTTCTCATTTTCTGTTATGTAGCAATAGCTTGCTAGAAATATGTTGGGAACCCATCTCCATCCTGACACATGCTGCTGAGCGGACAACTGATAGTTTGCTATACCATGCCGTGTGCTCAGTACTGAAAGAGGAGCATCCCCAGAGAGGTTGAGACATGCAATGGCTAAATGTTCAGGTTAGACCAGACAAACATACACTGGAATCCTAGACTAGGCATGTTATTCAGCATCTGAAGATACTTAACAGATTGCCTAGACATTCTGTGAATAGACTTTATCAAGCTTAGATAAGCACATCGCCTTTGGGCTGAATCTCAAAAGGCCAGGAGTTCAGCAAGAGGACATTTGGGAGTTGAGTCATTTGTGCATGGGTGACCCACAGGATGTGCATAAATAGTACATCAGTTTTTTCTAATAAGTGATTAGAATTTTCTCATACCACAAACTAGTGGGCTTTCTCTTCATGAAACTGAAGTGTGGGTGACAGACCTCAGGATCACACAAAAACTCAAAATGTAGATGGAGTTATTCTAGTTCACTTCAGATCTGGGTTTGATAGTTCTCCCAGCCTGAGAGGTTCTTCAAGGATCCCAAGTTTGCTTAACATGGACAATGCTGTCCTTGTGGCTTCTAATCAATGGTTCTTCCCACGGGCCATGAAGATTGAGCAATGAGCTGTTCTGTCTTCTTTCACCAAAACCTTTCCTCAGTTTCTGGCAAAACTGTTTCTTTGGGAAGAAAATGGTAAACACTAACTGCTTAGGTGCCAGTTAATAGCCAGTGGGGTCCTTAGCATTGGATTAAGGAAAGGTGCTATCTAGACCAAAGGTTATGGTCCTTTACCCTTCCATTCCAACTTTTTTCCTAAATCCATTTGTAAGAGTTTACAAAGTAGTAGGTTTCCAAAGGACACTTTCATGCATCCTTGTTTAGGATAACTCATTTCCTCCTCTTCGTCTCCCCTGCTCCCACCCCATCCTCACCTAAACGTGCCCACCCCCGTATTCTTGCCCTCCACTTTTACATCACATGATGCTCTGCCATACCCATCCTTAATGACTTCTCCCATTCATCACCCCGTCTAGGCTCCTTGCCTCTAGAGTCAGTCCAACTTAAACATAAAATCTGAAACTTCAAACCTGTGATCCACATATCGCTTTGAACCTGCATCCTCAGTGTATTTCCCAGTTCCATTTCATTTTTCATTACAGCAGAATGAAATTCTATGCATATATGTATCACATTTTCATTATCCATTCATCTGTTCCTGAACATCTCAGTTAATTCTATTTTCTAGCTATTGTGGAGAGCTGTAACAAACAGGGAAGAGCAAGTATCTCTGTGGTAGGATATAGGGTCCATTGTGTGTATGTCTAGGAGTGGTATACCTGGGTATTTCTCCTTTAGAGTTTTGAGAAACCTCCACACTGATTTCTGCAGTGGCGGTACCCGTTTATACTCCCACCAACAACGAATGATGATTTCCCTTCCCACACATCTATGCCAGCATTTATTGTCCTTTGTTTTCTTGGTAATAACCAATCTGACTAAGGTGAATTGGAATCTAAAAGCAATTTTAATTTGCACTTCCTTGATGACTGGAGATATTGAATACTATTTAGTGGCCATTTGTATTTCTTCTTTTAGGAATTCTGTGTTCAGCTACATAGCCTATCTTTTGATTGGGTTATTTTTGTGATATTTAGGATTGTTTTGTATAGTCTGGGTATTAATCCCCGTGTGTTTTGTGTGTGTGTGTGTGTGTGTGTGTGTGTGTGTGTGTGTGTGTGTATGTGTGTGTATCTGCTAAAGGTTTTCTCCCATTCAGTAGATTTCCTCTTCACTCCATTGACCTTTTCCTTTGCTGTAAAGTCTTTTAATTTCACTGGGTCCCATTTGTCAATTGTTAACAATATTTCCTGAGCAACAGGCATCTCATTCAGAAAGTCCTTACCTATGCCTATATCTTGAAGTGTTTTCCTTTCTTTTTTCCAGCAGTTTCAGATGTTGCATTAAGATCTTTAATACACGTAAAGTTGATTTTTGTGTAGCATGAGAGATAAGTATCTATTTTCAATCTTCTACATATAGATACCCAATTTTTCCAACATAAGAGGCTCTCTCTTCTCCAGTGAGTATTCACGCTCAAAAAACATGGCTATAGCTGCATGAATTTATATCTGTATTTTCTATTCTGTTCCATTGATTTATGTGACTATATGGCAATATATTGTTTATGATTTAATAAAGTTTGCCTGAAGATCAGAATGCAAAGCCAACCATACTAGACAGCACAGAAGCTGGACAGTGGTGGCACACACCTTTAATCCCAGGACTCAGGAGACAGAGGCAGATGGATCTCTCTGAATTCAAGGCCATTCAGGGCTACACAAGACTGAATCAGTCAAATGGAGTAACAGAGCTCTCGCCTTTAATCCTAGCACTAGAGAGGTATACAAGAAAGAAGCAAAGAGTCTCATGTGTCAATTAGTCTGCAGCCATGTTGAGAAGACCATTGCAGTCTAGGATTCTGAGGCTTAGGTGGAGAGCAGTGCAGTCTGGAGATGCAATTTGTGGTTCAGTGGATTGCCACTTTGATCTGAGCATTGGTAGAGGTGAGAACTCTTTAGTAGCTGATTGCTTTGCTTGTCTGTTCTTCAGCTTAAACCCCAATATCTGTCTCTGGGTTTTTATTATTAATGTTACAAGTCTGTTTGGGAGGTCTCTCTCTCTCCCTCTCTCTCTCTCTCTCTCTCTCTCTCTCTCTCTCTCTCTCTCTCTCTCTCTCTCTCTGTGTGTGTGTGTGTGTACCATTATCATGTTTGTTTGGTTATTTTGTTACTGTGGCTCTGTAATATACCTTGAAATTAGGTTTGATAATGCCTCCAGATTTCCCCAGTCCCCTCAGGATTACCTTTTCTATCTGAGGTTTATTATAGTTTCAGGTGACTTTTAAAATTATTTTGGAGCCAACACTCAGGAGGAAGAGGCAGGCTGAGCTTGAGGTCAGCCTAGTCTACAGGGTGAGCTCCATGACAGTCAGGGCTACAACAGAGAAATCCTGTCTTGAAAAGAAAATTTTGGAGATGTAGAGATAAGTCTGTGGTGCAGAGCATGTACTGCTCTTGCAGAGGAACCAAGTTCAGTGCCCAGTATCTACAGCTCACAACTCTCTATGACTCCAGTAGGGGAGGGGACAATAACATTTCGCCACATGCTTCCCTGAAGACATTGTCTTGAAATTGCTTTAAGTTGACCTAACTATCGTGGGCCACTATCAGCCATTGTCCCTCATATCTTGTGTTTTAGGCTCTGAGCTGGGCCAGCTGGAGTTGGCCACCACAATTATTTTTACAACCCTTTGACAGATGTTGAATTGCCCACTCATTGTTCCTTACCTCCTATTTGTGTGGTATCTGTTGTTCTGTACTTCCAGGAACCAGCCTCCTCCCTAGCAATATTGAATGCAGGTCTCAGATGTCAAATTCAGATGAAACAAGTGAAAGAGCATCTTCCTTGGACCTCCAGATCTATCTAGAAGGATCCTTGGAGGCAAATTGGTTTGGTTCCTCCATTATTTATTTATTTATTTATTGATTTTGATTTTGATCTTGGTTTTTCAAGACAGGGTTTCTCTGTGTAGCCCTGGCTTTCCTGGAACTTGCTTTGTAGAAGAGGATGGTCTCAAATTCAGAGAGATCGGGCTGCCTCTGTCTCCCTATTACTGGGATTAAAGGCGTGCACCTTTTTGAGGACTGTGAGAATCTAACACTGATGAGGAGCTTGTTATAGGGCACACAGCAGTAAGTCTGAAAGTCAGACCATGTGATCTGGGTCCTGAGACAGGGCTCTGCCCCACTCCCCATCCAGCATAAGGAAATTGAATTCTAGTCTGTCCCAACTGTTGGACAGGAACTAAGTAAGACTGAACTGCACCATCAATGGAAAGTTCACACTTTATACTAAATAAAAAGGACATTATTTATTTCTATATTTGTTATTACTATTTTTAGTTTTGGATGATTTAATGTTGGGGAATATTATTTTAAGGTGTGTTACTTTTGCTTATGTTGCATTTGTTTAACCCTGTGAAGCTGTGTTACTGTTCCTGTCTAAGACACCTGATGGTCTAATAAAGAGCTGAACAGTCAATAGGGAGGCAGGAGAGAGGAAAAGGTGGTACTGGCAGGCAGAGAGGGTAAATATGTGGAGAAATCTGGGAGAACAGGATCTTAGGATTGGGGAATGAGAGAAGAAGGAGGAGGACTTCAGAGGCTAGCCACCCAGCAACCCAACTACATAGCCAGACATGGAGTAAGAAGGAAAGAAAAGATATATAGGAGTAGAGAAAGATAAAAGCCCAAGGCCAAAGTTAGATGGGATAATTTACATTAAGAAAAGCTGGTGGGCTGGAGAAATGGCTCAGAGGTTAGGAGAAATGGCTGCTCTGTCAGAGATCCTAAGTTCAATTCCCAGCAACTACATGGTGGCTCACAACCATCTGTAATGAGATCTGGTGCCCTCTTCTGGCCTTCAGGGATACATACAGACAGAACACTGTATACATAATAAATAAATATTAAAAAAAAATAAAGAAAAGCTGGCAAGAAACAAGCCAAGCTAAGGCCTGGCATTCATAACTAAAAATAAACCTCTGTGATTTATTTGGGAGCTGGGTGGTGGGCCCCTCAAAAAGCCAAAAGAATAGAACTTCACACTACAACTTAATTTGCCCTTGGTGGTGAAATTAGTCATGCAAAAAGTATTCTTGGTCATTCAGTGTCATCGCATCCCCCTAACCAATGTGCTCTCTGTAGAAGGTAAAGACTTCTAAGCCAGCTCTCTCTCAATACCTGATCCCATGATAGGGAAATATGAGCATGTTCCTGCCACTCACTGCAAGAAAAGCTTCTGGGTCTTATCTTTGCTGCATGCTGAGAACACTAATTAATTTCAGGCATTCTCCTATTGTGTTCCTCTAAACTCTGGAGTGAGAGGCGCTCCTACATTGTGCAGCACAAGCCAGATAATGGCTTGCTTTTGCATAACACAAGTGTTCGATCCCATGTTTTAGCTCTTATTCAAGCTTCTAGGATGACTCTATTTAAGAAACCTACATTGGGACAAAGAAACACACCAGTTCACGTGAAAGATTAATTTCAGAAAAATAGAGAGATTTGCAGGATGGTGTACATCAGTTTTGAGAAACAGCAAAAATGACAAATGCCTTAAATTATTAATGAGTTTTGGCTTTCAAGTTGATATCATATTACTAAGTAAAATTGGCTACTGGTGATTTTTTAAATATACCTTTTTTTTCTCACCAGACTTCATGCATACTCAGCAACACCTAAAGGGTGATTTGTAATTAGTTACTTAAGCAGCAAATGAATAACACGACAGATTGTTGAAGTTGCCTGTCTCCTTTCGCTCTGTAATTGTCATGATCTAGCTGTATGTTCCAATTTTCTAGCTCATGTTTCAGCTACGATTGCATCAACGTACTTAGTGACCTCAGGCTCTCTAATAGTCATCTGCTAGGATCTCCCGTTCTCAAGCACTGCAGAGCCCCATCAGGCAGAGATGCTGCCTATTTGAAAGCCCTGCTTCCCTTCCCCTGCAAGCTTTGCAAATAGTAGATAGATGCTCACTGAATGTTTATCCACTGAATCTCTGAAGACTGAATACTCTCTACCCTTTTCCCTTGGAAAATAAGATCCTAAAGTCCAAGAAACAGTTTTGGTATGGCAATCATATCTGTGAAATTTGGCATAAGAACATGGTGGGTCATACTTCCACCGTGATATCCAGCACTGGCCCTGTTGAACTCCACTGACCCCTATGGCTAGTAATTGGGTCATGACCACATGGGTAGCCGTATAGCTCATGGAAGCATTGTCACCGAGGGATGGCTCAGCTGTGGGCCAGCAAGTGGCCAAGCATTATTGTTTGATGTTTTTGTTCTTTAGCTTTTTTGTCCTTCCTAGGGAGGCCCCTCACCGAGCTCCCTAGAAAATCACACACAGAGGCTTATTCTTAGTTCTGAATGTCTGGCCTTATCTTAACTTGTTTCTTGCCAGTTTTTCTTAAGTTCTTAAGTTACTCGTCTACGTTTTCCCTCTGTATATCTTTCTTTCCTTCTACTCCGTGGGCTGGCTGGTGACTGACATCCTCCTCTCCTTGTTCTCTTGCTGCTCCTCCCCTTCCTCAGTTCTCCTACTATTTATACTCTGTCTGTCAGCCCCACCTAGCCTTGCTCCTGCCTCAATATTGGCCATTCAGCGCTTTATTAGACCATCAGGTGTTATAGACAGACAAAAAAAAATCACAGCTTCACAGAGTTAAACAAATGCAGCATAAACATAAAATCTGAAAAGGGAAGTAGTACAGATGGGGGACAGCCAAGAGCTGAACATAGCAGTAGGAATTCAACCCTAGAGAAATCAGAGGCTTCCACAGTTCCTGATCATGACTTAACAATGCTCCTAGAAATGTGATGCATCACACATAGAGAAAGTGGGACAAGTACTTTTGAAACCAGTCTCCTAGTTAAACATATTTAAAAGATTAAACATATTCCTATCATGTAACCATTATTCCCAAGTATTTGACTGAAAGACATGGTAACACAGTCAAAAAGACTTACACACTAATATTCACAGTGGTCAAAAGATGTTCCTATTATTTGGAAAAACAGACTGACTCTCAGGACATGATGGCTTTTGCTTCAGGTATAACTTCACCTTCATGGCCAATTGTTCTCATCTGTGGGATCAACTTTTAGGCTCTGCTATTCTTGGAATCTAAAACAAAAAAATTTTTAAATGACTTAGTCCTGTGCTGCTGTGGGATAATGTTCTTGTACATTGTAAAGATTTGTCACTCATATTGGTTTAATAAAACACTGATTGTCCAGTAGCCAGGCAGGAAGTACAGGTGGGGTAACCAGACTAGGAGAATTGTGGGAAGAGGAAAGGAGAGATTCAGCAGCCAACAAGACACAGAGGAAGCAAGATGAGAATGCCTTACTGAGAAAAGGTACCAAGCCACATGGCTAAACATAGATAAGAATTGTGGGTTAATTTATGTTGTAAGAGCTAGTTAGTGGGCTGAAGAGATGGCTCAGAGGTTAAGAGCACTGTCTACTCTTCCAGAGGTTCTGAGTTCAATTCCCAGTAACCACATGATGGCTCACAACCATCTGTAATGAGATCTGGTGTCCTTTTCTGGCCTGCAAGGATACATTCAGACAGAACACTATAATGGGGGAAGTCCTGTGTATATGTCAATAAAGCACTGTTGGCTAATAGGGAACCAAGATAGGTGGGACTAGGAGTCCAGGAGGACTCTGGGAAGGAGAAAGACAGAGGTCATGATGTAACGCCATGGGGTAGGAAGCCCGGAAAGTTCTCCGGTAAGAGAAATACTTAGATTAACAATTATGGGATAAATACTTAAGTCAGAGCTAGCCAGTAAGAAATAAGCAAGGCCAACAGCTTCATAATTAATATAGCCTCCTGTGTGTTTATTTGGGACTGATGCGGCTCTGGAACCAGGCTGGCAGAAAGGCTTTCTCTTTACAACACTCTACATAATAAATAAATAAATCTTTAAAAAAAGAGCTAGTTAGTAATAAGCCTGAGCAATTGACCAAACAGTTAATAATATAAGCCTCTGTGTGCTTATTTGGGACTTAACAGTTGTAGGACTGGGAGGAACAGAAACTTCCATTTACATTGAGCTTTCAGCTGTCTTTAAGTAATACTTTTAAAAGATTTTATGTTTTATAAACATAATTGGTAACAGTTCCTTCCAAGTGTGTCAGGCTTCTTATTAAGAACTGAGTTTTAAGTCAGATTTCCTTAACAGTCTGTTTCCATAAGACATCATCTAAGTGTTCTTAGCAGCTAATTTTTAAGGCATGGCTTGTTCTTCAGTGACACTGTAACAAACCATCTGGGTATTTAGGAATCATATTTAAGGACCTAAACTAATATGAACAGAGGATAAACAGGACATCCAGTATTTTGGTCCTTGCACTCCAAGGTCAAGTATGTTCCAGGGAACCATGGGACCACGTCTTGAAAGGACCTGTAATGCAGCTCTAGCTAGTCAACTGTCCTGATATGGGAGGACATGGCATGGAAATCCAGATAGGAAACTGTAACCAGTGCACATTCTGCAGAGAACAGAGGCAACCCAGAGAGGAATGTCTCTATAGCAAGCTCTGACCCATTCTGATAGATGGCATAATTAGTCAAACAAAGATTAAAGGAGCCAGAGACACTTACCAAGCCCGTGACGCCTAAGGACCAGACCCTAAAAGCCCTTACCAAAACAAAACAAAAAACAAAAAGTTAGTTTTGGCCATTGACATGGTTTTAAAAATATCCAAATAATCAAAGATTAAAATTATGGGTAAGTTTATAAAGCAAATAAAATCTAAGCTAGACTTTTAAAGACATAATGTTGTGGGATATGTGTATACTGTGTAGAGATGTATTGCTGTGATTGGTGTAATAAAAAGCTGAATAGCCAATAGCTAGACAGAAGAGAACAGGTGGGACTTCTGGACAAAGAAAGGAAGTCAGAGGGATGAATCTAGGCACATGGGAGTTGCCAGCCAGACTTGGAGGAAGCTGGCAGGATGGACATACAGACATAAGGTAACTAACATCATGAGATAGAATGTAGAGTAATATAAATGGGTTAATTTAAGCTAAAAGAACTAATTGAGAACAAGCCTAAGCTAAGGCCGTGCTTCCATAATTAATAATGAGTCTCTGACATTTGCAGGCTGGCGGTCCAAGGAAAGTCCGACTACACACATAATCAATGATCTGGGTCTTAATGGCTTCACCATTAAACCCTGAGTATGGGCTATTGAAATGCCAGGTAGCATTATCAGCCTCTCCAGATGTAATCACATTGATGACTCTGCTGCCCTTCCTAACTGTAAACAAAATGATATGTGTAATGTTTCTGATAATTCTGCTATCTCCTGTGTTTTACAATGTCTACAAAATCAGGCTGAGACCACACCAAACACTACCATTCTATTGGCAAACAGTTTTGGAAACAGATCTCTGTTACCAAAAATGGAAATGGGTTATGTCTTTTATAATATTGATTCTATCAATCCTTGGACCATGCGCACTTAGCAGGATTTAACTTTATCTCTTACTGCAGTCAATTTCCCACTCAGATGGTCCGGTAACAACTTAACTACAACTATTGGGGTCCCCTTGATTTCCCTATAAGGCTTGAAAGTCTACAAAATTGGAACCTTAAACCTTTCTGCACCACAGCTTACTCAATGTAAATTTAATCATGACTCCCATCTTTATTTAGTGCCAATCAAAGACTTCCTTTTCTCTCTTCAGCTGGGTTTTATTTAAATAAAGCAGCCTATGCAAGTTTAAGATTATTTAGAAAGGCTCACTGGAGGGATATTCCCATCAACACACCCAGCAACTCTACCTAGCAAGAAAAAGCTAGATATTCAAATTCCCTAATGGCAGTTAGGGTTACCTGTTTAGAGAGGGTAATGATGGCAAAAGGGTCTAAAATTGGCTGGGCAGTATAGCATGAATTCTAATTGGTCTTAATAATAAAAACTGAGTCAGCTACCAGGGGGTTGAAACTGAAGGGTCAGAGAAGCTGAGGAGCCACTAGAGAGTTCTTACCTCTGCCAATGTTCAGACCAAAAAGGCTATCCTGTTCACAGATTGCCATCCCGATCCATCTGAAACACTTAGACAGACTGTAATATAAATCTTCATCTATGCTATATGAAAGGATGGCATGTAATAATAACTCATGAGAACTCTGTAGCCAGCAAGATTTATCATGTCTCACCCAGCCTCAGAGCTGTTCTCACATAGAGAGAGCTTGTACATCACCTGTCTTGTACTTTTTTGTTTCTTCTTTCATGTCTGCAGCCAAGATTTTTAAGAGGTAATCAAATCTGGTCTTCATCAGTTTTGATAGAATCCATAGCTTTTTGTTTCCCATGGAAACAAAAGCATAAACTCTCCCCCACTGCAACACATTTTCTGACTTCCATTCTAAAGTTAAGGCATCATTAAAATATATAAGCTAGTTGAATTCAGTAGTTTTTCCTCCACAAACCACTGTCTCTCAGCAGCTGTTGTTTTGTCATTCATTAGCATGTAAAAAGTTCAAAGTAAACAAAGCACCATACAGGATCCAGATGCCAAGAGTATTTCCCATTCTTATATGGCTTATTTTTCTTACACTACTCTTCCTTTAAAAACTTAATTATTTTAAACTACTTTTTATGAGTGCCTATACCAATGTTTCTTTTCTTTCCTCAGCACCCAAGTACCTGTTTAAGCATACTGTACTTTTTAAAGCAATTTTCTTTGTAAACATTTCAATGGATCAGGTGGGATGGACAGGGATGGAATTATGGCATTTGGGAGCCAAAGAAAACTGAGTATTACACCTTGGATAGAAAGGTATTCTGGCACTTGGGAGTCACAGAATACCACAGGTCACAGAAAACATAGAAGCTTACAGCCTTGCTTCAGGGAAAGGCTTGCCCACAGTATCAGCTCTGCTCCTGCAGGAGAGGGCTTCCCTGGCGAAGTTGTTACAGTTCAGCTCCAGTAACTTCGCTTTGCCAGGGAAGGTTTCCTCAGCACAAAGTGTTACAGCCCTGCTCTGCTGCACTCCACCCAGGGTCATCTCTGCTCCAGCAAAAGAAGGTCTCACCCAAACCTCATTCAAGAGATTTATTGGGAGGGAAGTGGCTGCCCTCTGCCAGGGTAGCAGAGAACAGCTGGGCAGCCCAAACAGCCAGAAGCTGAACAAGACACAAGATTTATATAGGGATTCTTAGGGGGAGTAGTTTTTCCAGGGAGATTTCCAGGGTGGGGATTGGTCAGATTTCAGTCTCTGAGCTCAGAATGGCTAGATCTCCTGCTCAGGGATTGATTAGTTTTATGCACAGGTTTAGGGTCAGCTTTGGCTCTGGCTACAAGGCCAAAGTATGTTTCTTTCACTGGTCCTTTTAAGCTATTTGGCTTTAAAATTTAGGGCCAGGGTACATTTCTTTGGTTCTGGTTGCAAGGCAAGGGAAAACTGATCCTGATGGCATGGGCATAGGGGAGTTGACTCTGCCTCTCCTGAGGCAGATGGCCCCAGTGTCCTGGAGTGACGAGCTCAGCTACCACCCAGGCCTACAACCAGGCCTTGGGTTGGCCCACCCTAACATCTACCCCATCTAGGACCCGCTGAAGCTGGTGAAGAGACTGTCCTGTGGAAAACACCGTCAGGGTATCCATGACTTGGGGTGGCTATCATGGGATATCCCAAAGGAATAATGATGTTGTACCAGAAACTAGAGGCCTTGACCAGTGACTCATTGCAATGAACATTTGCCAATAAAGAATCAATAAAAAGGGTTTTTTAACCATTGGGCTCAGTAAATTTGACACATGTATACTTGGACATCATCACTAATCAAGATCTAAGATAATCTCATCTCTCCACAAAGAGCTCTCTGCCCATTGCTGGATGGAACAATCATTGACCTGTTTGTGATGTAGATGAGGTTTTTGCCTAGATTTTTAACTAAAGGAAATCATCCACTTATAGTCTTTTGTCTGGCTTATTTTAACTGTGTGATGTTCTAGAAATTCACAACCTATAATTGTGTGAATCAGTTTTGTATTTTAATTGTTGTGTGGTGTTGTGTGGGAAAAGTTGTTTTCCCATTTACTTGTAGATACCTGAGCCCCATTTCTTCTTTGCTTTGTGTCAAGTTATGTCCAGCTATAGTCCCTGTAGTGATATTTTGTTTATGATCTAACAAATAAAGCTTGCCCTGAGGACCAGAGTGCAAAGCTAGCCATAGAGGCCAGGCAGTGGTGGCACACACCTATAATCCCAGCACTGGGGAGACAGAGGTAGATGGATCTCTTTGAGTTCAAAGCCACCCTGGACTACACGAAATTGTCTAAAAAGAGAAACAGAGCTTACTCAAAGATGACCTCAACACTTGGGATCACATGACTTTAATTCCAGCACTAGGGAGGTGGAGGTCAGGAGTGATATGGCTGGGAGGAGAGAGAAATATAAGATGGAAGGATACAAGAGAGATATACAGTAGAGACAAATGCAGGCTAGGGAGTCAGTCTGAAGCAGTCAGTCTGAGGAGGCAATCTGTGGACAGGATAGCCTTTTTGGTCTGAACATTGGCAGAGGTAAGAACTCTCTAGTGGCTCCTCAGCTTCTCTGACCCTTCAGTTTTAACCCCCTGCAGGAGAGTGGCAGCCTGGTGCGCCAACAGCCACAAGCTGAACAGACACAGGGTTCATATAGGGCTTCCAGGGTAAGGATTGGTCAGACCCCAATGCTGAGCTCAGATTGGTTAGAGCTCCTGCTTGAGGATTGGTTAGTTTTTTGCACAGGGTTAGGGTCAGATTTGGCTCTGGTCTCAGGGTCAAAGTGTGTTTCTTTCTCTGGTCCTTTTTAGCCTTTTGGCTCCAATTTTAGGACCAGGGTGCATTTCTTTCACTGACTCTGAATCCAGGGACAAAGTGTGTTCCTTTGGCACTGGTTTCAGGGTCAGGGTACATTCTTTGGTTCTGGCTGTAGGGCCAAAGTGTGTTTCTTTGGCTCTGCTCAGGTGTGTTTCTTTGACTGGTCCTTTTTCCCTACAGTTTGGTTATGAAGTTCAAATGGACTTATAAAGTTGATAGTCATCTTTTACCTTCTCAAACATAGAGCAGATAACCATCTTTAGCTGATTTGTACATACTGCACATTCCATACTTGTGTTAATTCAGATATCTTTGTTACCTTTAAAAGTTTGTGTGTTTTCAGAACAAAAGGACCAGATGCCAATGAAGACAAGTAACCCAGGTGATCCAGCCTCTCAAAATGCTTCTGTACAGTTTCCTCAAATATCTGTATCCAGAAAAACTTCAAAATGGCTAGTTGAGATGCTCCAGCTTCACAGATTACTCTAACCAGGACTTCAGATAAACTCTACATTTTCCAGTCAGAACCTACAGACCTGTCAGACAGTACCTGAAATGGGATGTGAGGATTGAAGGAAAAGGAAAGATACAAGACAGAGTTGCACATGGGAGGACTGTTAGTGAATACTGAAGCCCTGAGTTTATTTTGAACAGTGTTTATATACAGTTTAGGAATAGGCAAAGGACATCAGCAAAGAATACAACATTGTTACAGACTTCTGAAAATACCCAGTGTTCAAGGAACAGTCAAACCACTTCCCTGTTCTCAAGGAGGAAACATGTGTGCTGTTTTTCTTGGCAAAACATCTTGAACTTTTGACCCATCAGACCAAGATGGAGCACTAAGGCTCTCACACTTTCCCACTACACAGAGATTGAACAACAAATGATACAGCTAACTCTTCCAGGACTTGACCATTATCTCAACTCTCAGGGTCCCCTAAAGATGCCATTGCCCCTAGACAACAGGAATCAGTCTAGAGAACACAATACCCATATTCCCAAGGTGGGATGGATGTTTTTTGGCCAATGATGGGTTATGGATGTTTATCATCATTTAGGGGAGTTGGTTACAAGTTGTTACTGGTCATGTTCAGGAAAGAAACTAAGCAAAGGAGATTAGATTCAGAAATCTCTTTCTGAAAAGAAAAAGGGGGGAATATAGGAATGATAGGATAAAAGGGTAGATTATTTAATCTACCTTTAAACTAAAAAGCAACTAGTAATAATTTACATTGGTGTGGATTTTTGTATTGATACAAATTTAAGATTATTTTTTATTATAAGATACCGTATATATGTTTCTATTCTTGTTTAAGGTATTTTATATATTGATACAAATTTAAGATTATTTTTATAATAAAATACTGTACACTTGTTTAAAGTATTGTACCTAAATAGCTCATTTAGAAAATGTAATGTGAAGTTCTAGTCCTTGAAAGCTATTATTACAAACTGTTGAGGATAATTAAGAAATGCAGATTAGTTTTTAGTCATCTAAATAATCAAACCTGTTGTAATGTTAGGAATGTTTTCAAGGTTAAACAGATATATTTTAGATAGATGGGTGGTCTTAAACCACTTCAGAGACTATAGAATATGGCATTTAAGATTTAATAACATAAGGCTTTTCATGATAATGAGATAGATCTGCTCCTGGTAGCACCAATCTACTTCAAAAAAGGGGAGGGGATAGTGGGTATTGAAGAATCTCCATATGGAGTTTACTTTCAAGGTGGCAAAGTTAGCCACTGGACAAAAGCTTCCCTTGCCTTGACTGCTGACAGTATGCTGTCCAAATTGGATAAGTAGGACACAAAAGAAAGTAACTGCCAAATTTTGCCAAGACAATGTAGAACATTCCTTCAAAATTCCTGCTTCACAGAAAAGTCTGTATTCTAGACCTGAAGGCTGAAGATAGACGCCCCAATATTGTAGATTGGGTGACCCTGGGTGACTATCTAGGCAGCCAGATCTTTCTGTTTTTTCTATAGTTTTGGAAGTTGCTTGATCTGTGATTCTTGTTTATTCAGATAATATTATATACTTCTCAGGTCTTTGATAGGGTTGAAGAATAGTTATAGTTTTACAGTTCTCCTTGTTACCAAATTCAGGAAAGATAAGGTTGAGAGACATAGAAACTTAAGTTGTTTAGCTAAGCAAATGTTTTAAGGTCTAAAAAGATATTTTTAGAATGGTAATACAAGTTATCATAGAAAGTGGCTTAGGTATAAAACTTTGAATTCATCAAGATAGGATAGATACTAGTTTCTCCAAATACAAATGGATTGATTGGATATCATCTGATAATTATTCTCACTGTACATAGTTTTATTTTGTTAAGTTTAAAACATTTATTTTTTCTTTAGACAGTGATTGATACTTGTTCTTATTGTATGTAGTTTTACTGTGTTAAAGTTAAAACCTTTCCTTTTTATTGAGACAAAAGGGGGAAATGTTGTGGGATATCTGTACACTGTGTGAAGATGTATTGCTATGATTGGTGTAATAAAGAGCTGAATGACCAATAGCTAGGCAAGAAAGAGTAAGTGGGACTTCTGGGCAGGAGAGGGCTCTGGGAAGAAGAAAGGCAGATTTGCCAGCAAGACTCAGAGTAAACAGGATGTGCAGTAAAGAAACGAGGTAATGAGCCATGTGGCAGAAGGTAATAAAATATAGTTTAAGTTATAAGAGCTAGTTGGAAATAAGCCTAAGCTGAAGGCCAGGCTTTCATAATTAATAAGTCTCTGTGTCATTATTTGTGAGCTGGAGGCTCAAAGGAAGTTTGACTTCGCCGGGCCCTCTCTGCTACTCCTCTTGGCTGTCCTACTGTTGCCTTGAGTCATGGAGATTCTGTAGCTTTGAATATGCAGACCCAGCCCCTTTACATGCTACACAGATGATGTGGGTGTTAGGGTGGGCTACTTTCATAGTCTTGCTTCTGGGCCTGGGTGGTAGCTGCGTTGATCAGCCTGCCAGCTTTTCTTCATCACCACCCAGGTGAGCTCTCTCCAGCGCTGCCCTGGCTAGTTCACCCAAGGTATCAGACAGCAAGGAGTGGAGTCAGTTCTGCCCTCACACCCTTGGGTCCAGCTCACCCACACTCACACACCAGGGCCAGCTCTACTGTTCTGCCCAGGCGAGGTGCAGAGCCCATAATCTGGATTGCTGCACTTGGTGAGGGACAGGACCAGCTCTTCTGTTCTCATGCCCCCGAGGTTAGCTCTCCTGCCTGTTGCAAGGGGTCAGGAGGCAGGGAGGCCATATTTCCCTTACCCTTGCCATCCCATGGCATACAAAGGAGGGGGTGGGGCAGCTCTCCTGCTCTCACAGCCACAGGACTGGCTCACCTGTGCTGACAGGGTCAGCTCTGGTGTGCTGCCTACGTGAGGGGCTATTTCCCCTTTCCTGTGTGCTGCAGCTGGTGAGAGGCAGGGCTAGTTCTCCCGCTCTCATGGCCCCGGGCGCCAGCTCTCTCACCTGCCACAGGAGGATATTTTTTTCTCGCCCATGCCACCACATGGCAGATGAGGGGGTGTGGTCAGTCTTCCTGTTCTCATGGCCCCCAGGTGCTCACCTATGCCCCCCTTGCACCCAATAGGGTTGGCTCTATTGTGTTGCCAGGTGAGGTTGTAGGGCCTGCTCTCCCAAGAGCTGTTGCTGGTGGGGTCGTGTTAATTCTCCCACTCTCATGACCTCAGCGCCAGCTCTCTCACCTGCCACAGGCTGCAAGGGGTGGGGGAGGTCATCTCTTTCTTGCCCACTCCCTCCCATGGAAGATGAAGGGTGGGCCAGATTTCCCACTGTTCACGGGGTCAGCTCTGTTATGCCACGTGGGCTAGGTGCAGAGCCCACTCCCCCAGTGCTGCTTCTGGTGAGGGGCAGGATCAACCCTCCCACTCTCATGACTCCGTGAGCAGCTTTTGCCACCTGCAATGCCCATAGAGGCCAAAAGAGGGCATTGGATTCCCTGAAGCTGGAGATAACAGCTGTTAGCCTCCATATGAGTGCTTGTAATCAAGTCCCAGGTCCTCTGGAAGAGCAGCCAGTACTCTTAACTGCTGAGTCATCTAAAGTTAATTAAAAAAGAAAAAGAACCAAAGCTGGGCAGTGATGGCACATACCTTTAATCCCAGCACTAGGAAGGCAGAGGCAGGCAGATATCTTGAGTTTGAGGCCAGCCTGGTCTACAGAGTAAGTTCTAGAGAATAGTTATACAGAGAAACCCTGTCTCCAAAACAACAATAAATAAATAAATAAAAGTTGTAATAAAAAACCATAACTGGACATATCAAAGAAGAAACGTGGCTTGGGCATGCTAGTGCACTCAGAAGGCAGAGGCAGGCAGAGGTCTGTGAATTTGAGGCCAGCCTGGTGTACATAGCAAGTTCCTGGCTAGGAAGAGATACATACTGAGACCCTATCATAACAAGAAACCAAAACAGGCTGGCGAGATAGCTGAGCACTTAAGACATGTACTAGTTTTCCAGAGGACCCAAGTTAAGTTCCCAGTACCCATGCAGGCAGTTGTGAATCCAGCTCCAGTAGGATTTGGTACCTGGGGCCTCCTTAGGCATCAGTATTTGTACACACACACACACACACACACACACACACACACACACACTTACTTTAAACAAAAATAAAACATTTAAACAAAACAACAAAAGAGGAAACAAAGGAGACTTTGCAAGCTGACACAACTACTCAGGTCCATAGAGAGAAAGGCAGAATGGAAGGCTGAGGTAGAAGGATGGCTGTGAGTTTTAAGCCAGCTTGGGCTATAGAGTGAGATGCTGTTTCAAAATAAAACAAGCAAAGGAGACTTTGTTGAGGGATTTCTAACTTAGGATGAGGCTAGACAAACTCATGACATGGATGCTACATTGTAGGGCAGAATGAGTTAAGTGACCAACAAAACATAGGGGCAAGAAGCACAGGACAGAAAGAGAGAGGGGCAGAGTGGGCAGAGGAAGATGGGAGAGAGAGAATGCTGTTTCCTGGGATTAATGATACAGCATTGTAACAGGAGTCTCATGTATCCCGCTACTCCACAGAGACCTGGTTCATACCCCACTTCCTCCGTCAACCCTTGCTTCGTTTCATCAGCACTCCCAATGGACCCTCTTCCCTTCTCTCTCTGGACCTCATATACCAATTCTGTTTAAAACTGCTTAATGCTATTTAACTTTAAATGTTTTTATGCTTACTCACCTGGGACATAAGCTCCTTATGGTGACACTGGACCCTGGATCTCCTTAGTTCCTTCATGTGGAGCTAGGCAGGTCTAGATGTTCTTTAGTCATTTCAGTTTCCAAAGCTGGTCTGGGTAAACAATTGAAAGTAAGGAGAAGATAACTACAATTCTGATTCTATTTAGGAACCAAGGAGGGAGTAGTGAGGTTTGTAAGTCCTTTAGTAATTCATTGTTTAATTGGCAACATAATTTCAATCACAGGACCAAGGGACTGTCTTTTAGAGGCAAGCTGATGCTGGTGTAGTAAGTTATAGGATAAGTTATGGGAGGATTTCGTGTCTCCACCATCTTTTTCCAATAAGAAATTTCAGCCAGGGCAGTCACATTTGTATTCGAAACCTGCCAACTCTGACCAGAAATCAGGTCTCCATTTAAAGTCACACCTTGACAAGTGGATTAGATGTTCTAGTGAAAGGCAGATAAATGTCACTCATGTCACTAAATAAAAGTCAGGGCTGGCTTATCAGCTTGTAGGGTTGAGGTTCAACACGTCTCAGGGTGCTTTACACTTTATTATCCTTTAACTGGGGTCTTTTCCATTGAGCCTCTTCCATTTGTACCACAGAGGGAATTACACCATTCACTCTTAGGAATATGTGACTTCTGTCAACTTCCTGTCTTCCTTTAAGAGACAATACAACCTATGGCCTTAAATGGAAATCTGCCAGAATTCCCTCAAATGTCATATTACAGAAGGAAATGGAGTAGGCTTCATTCCTGGATGTAGTACATCATGTACCTGCTTTACAAGCAAATCATGTCATAGAAGGCTCTGATCACTTAGGTTATAGTTTAGGCTCAAGCACAGGATTTGTCATCTAAATCTTTGTAATACCAAGTATGGATTTAGGTCTCTGTTTTTTTTTATCATTTCTTTCTCTCTAAAACCTAGTACACATAGCAAAACTTGCTAAATGTGTCAGTAACAGCAGGTACCTATTTCTATACATATATCATTTCTCAAAGCAGCTAAGGAACGTGTTTTGCAAAAAGTAATCTCACTGTCAAAAAAATTTAGAGATTGGTTCGCAAAAAGGCTATAAAGTGTCCACAGAAATGCAGTCTGTTTGGTTCCAAGTGCCAGGTTATTCCATGAAAGAATTTTTCTCACAAACTTTAGACTGCATTACTCATTGTTATGTTTTTTGTGGCTAGGGATGCTATCTGGTTTTAGTTGACTTAAGATGTGAGCATAGCCGGGCGTTGGTGGCGCACGCCTTTAATCCCAGCACTCAGGAGGCAGAGGCAGGCGGATCTCTGTGAGTTCGAGACCAGCCTGGACTACCAAGCGAGTTCCAGGACAGCCTCCAAAGCCACAGAGAAACCCTGTCTCGAAAAACCAAAAAAAAAAAAAAAAAAAAAAAGATGTGAGCATAAACCAGGTGATGGTAGCATACACCTTTAATCACAGTACTGGGGAGGTAGAGGCAGGCAGATCTCTGTGGGTTCAAGGCCAGCCTGGTCTACAAGTTGAGTTCAAGGATAGCCAAAGTTATACAGAAAAACTGTATTGAAAAAGAAAAAAAAAAAGCCGGGCTTTGGTGGCGCATGCCTTTAATCCCAGCACTCGGGAGGCAGAGACAGGCGGATCTTTGTGAGTTCGAGACCAGTCTGGTCTATAAGAGCTAGTTCCAAGACAGCCTCCAAAGCCACAGAGAAACCCTGTCTCGAAAAACCAAAACAAAAAACAAAAAAAACCAAAAAAAACAAAAACAAAAAAACAAAAACAAAAAAAAAACATGAGCACTAACAGTGGAAACTTAGAGCTGAATAATCTTTCTGATTATACTATTAATATATACTTTCTGGAACTTTAAAATGCATCTTTTAATGATCTACATTTCTATATTACACTTTTGTCCTTGTGTTTCTGAGCTACATTATGAAGGTCAACGTGTGGTGCCCACAGATGTGGTTCTGTTCCATCAGACAGTTCAAACCTTTTCTTGCTCCTCCAAGGTTAAACAACAGGATATTTGGCCTAAGGTGTTACTTACTACTGGATGTCTTTGTTCCTTGTATCATGGTAAAGAAGTCTTTTGCCCTCCCCTTTTGATTGGGCTATATAAGAACTATGAGTAATAAACTTGGGGCTGATCACAGTATTCACTGGAAACCCTCTATCTTTTGTTTTTTGTCTATTTCTTTCCTCAATCCTTACTCCTCTTCTCAGAAACATATGGACAAGCTGGCCAGACCCAACATCAATTAGAATAGAATTATATATAAACAAACATGCTCTGAATACTTGCTCACCAAGGTCATTTTTATTTTTGTCTTTGAAGTACACTTGGTGATTATGATGGCTAATCTTCACTGTCACCTTGATGAGATTTAGAATCCTCTAGAAGATACACCTATAGGTTTGTCTGAGAGACTGATTGCCGAGTGTTTTAACTAAGGAGGGAAGATTCCCTTACATGTTGATAGCACCATGCTGAAGGCTGAGGTTCCAGCCTGAATAGAGAGGCGGAAGGTGAAAGCCCAATGAATGAGAGCATTAAGTTCTCTCCACTTCCTGCTCTGCCTAGCTGTGAGAAAATACCCCAACACAAAGCCTTCTCTACTGTGATGGACTATAATATCTCCAACTACAAATAAAAGAAATCCTTTCTCCTTGAAGTTGTTCTCAGGATTTTGTCATAGCAATGAGAAAGAAACTGAGTAGAGTGAATTGTACTGAGAAGTGGTACCCTCGAATGATAAACCTGACCAAGTGGTTCATAGGCTTATGGAACTGGCTTGTGGAAGGGATGTGCAAGAGTTTGGATCTGTGGCCTAGATAAAATAAGAATACTGCAAGCAGAGCTTAATGGACTATTTTAGTGGATTGTTTAAGGCTAGAACGTGGACAAAAAGGCAGGAAAAAACTGCTCATGACATCTCAGAGCAGAATAAGGATACAATACTGGAACTGGGCTAGTAGTCATTTCTGTTATATTTTGGAGAGGAACTTGACTTCATTTTGTCCATGTTCTAAAAACTTGAGCAAACATGAATTCAAAAGTGGTAGAATAAGTTATTGGGTGGAGGGAATCCCAAGACTGCATAGCACTCAGGCAGTGATTGGGCTACCACTTACTATGCTATCTATGTTTACATTGAAAGAGAAGAAAGCTATGAAAAAAATGTGCAGTTTGGTAAGTAGAGTGGGAAAGATTAAAGAAACCAACAAGGAGGGGCTACAAAGTTATGTAATTCCTAAAGAGATTAGCACAATTAAGGAGAAACTCCAGAAATGGGAAAAGTAATTCACACAGCAATAATGACCTCAGATTATTTTAGGTGGTGAAGAACAGTTAAAATGGAGCCTGGATATGTCAAAACCCCAGAAATCTGAAAGATAAGCTTTGCATGGTTCTAGGAACAGAAACCAGTAGTTCCCTTTTCTTGCTTTATGTTCTAAAATACAACTTCTCAATCTCTTTGGCCTGTAGGACCCCTTATACTCTTAAAAAGTATTACATTTTAAAGCACTTTTGTTTATATCTATTTTACTATCATGATAAACCAAACCTGAGCATACATCCTTGTCTCTAAGAAACTATGTCCTATTAAAAAATTACTTTTTGCCAGGCATGGTGCCTCATGCCTAGCACTGAGGAGGCAGAAGCAGGCAGATTTCTGTGGTGATATTTTGTTTATGCTATAACAAATAAAGCTTGCATGAAGATCAGAGTGCAGAGGTAAGCCAATAGTTAGCCATAGAGGCCAGGCAATGGTGGCACACATCTTTAATCCCAGCACTGGGGAGACAGAGGCATGCAGAACTCTGTGACAAAGGTGATCCCAGCAATTGGGACCACATGCCTTTAATCCCAGTACTTGGGAGGTGGAGACAGGAGTGATATGACTGGGCAGAGAAAGGAATATAAACTGGGAGGAGACAAGGGCCAAGGCAATTTGAGGATTCATAGAGATAGATACAGTCTGAGAATTCTTAGGGATAGGATCATCCCTTTGGTCTGAGCATTGGTAGAGGTAAGGATTCTATAATGGCTGACTTCTCTTTCAGCTTTCATCCCCCTAATATGTGTCTCCAGGTTTTTATTATTAAGAGCAATTAAAATTCATGCTTCAGATTTCTGTGAGTTTGAGGACAGTATGGTCTACATAGTGAGTTCTGGGTCAGAGACTATATAGTTAGACCCCAACTCAAAAATAAATTAAACTAAACATCAGGCATTATATTCCTTGGAGTTGGAATTGTGGGTGTTGGGAACCCAGTCCAGCTCTTCAGGAAGAACAATAAGCTCTTTTAATGATGGGCCTTCTCTGCAGCCCCAAGACTGTTGATCTTATATACTTAGTAACAGGATTTGCAACTGAACCTGACAGAGACAATGCCATAGGTTCAGTCAACCCTAGTTGTTTTTACTATTCTTGAATACTCAGGCTGACTACTGGTCTTCCTCTGCGCTTGCATTGGGGCCAACAGGTTTGGGCCTAGTGGATGCAAGCATTAAGTACTATAAGCAACCACTAAGTGTGGCCCTTAAAAACATTCATCTCAGCCCCTTCTTCCCCAACTCTTCCTTTGTAGAACTGTCTCAGTTACTTTTCTATCACTGCAATAAAGCACCATGACCAAAGCAACTTATAAAAGAAAGTGTTTAGTTGGGCTTACAGTATCATAGGATTAGAGTCCATGATGGTAGAGTGTGGTGGCAGGAACAGTCAAGAGTTTTCACATCTTGATCCACAAGCAGGAGGCAGGGAACACACTGGGCAGAATATGAGTCATTTGAAACTTCAAACCTTGCTCCCAGTGACACATCTCCTAATCCTTCCCAAATAGTCCTACCAACTGAGAACCAAGTACATGAGCCTATGGGGCCATTCTTATTCAAATCATCCCAAGAAGCAAGGATGAAAACAACAAGATCCCCAAGTCACTGTCAGGGTTAACATTATGCTGTAAATTTAAATTACTGTGCTTAAGATTTATGGAACAAAAATACCTCTAACCTGTAAAGCCCCTCTTGCCCAAGGACAAACAACCTCCTGGAATGCTGGTGTTTGTTGTTAATTTAATATAACAAGTCATGAGTCTTTTTTTCTGTAAACAAGCTTGGTTGTACCAACTGCACAGGATGTGCTTGATCACACATAGGTGGGGGTACACAGGCAGGAAGAATGTCAAAATGTATGCTTGACCCTGATTGGATAAAGGCAGGAAGTACAAGTCTTGTGGCTTTTGCCTTTAAAGGCTCTCACTAATGTAATTTGGTGCCATACTATAGGGATTCTGGGAATGGATGTGGCCAGTGTCCATTGTCCTGGCCAATATTTAATCAAGATTGCTTCAAATTTGGCTCAAAATTTGTGGAAGTAGTGTTATTCTTGACTGGTTGGGATTTACATCACCATAAGAAAACCCACCCTGGAGTCTGATCTCATACGTGACAAAGGCAAACTTCAGAATTATTTGTCCTTTCAACAAATCATACCTTTATCCTCATACATTGGATGAAAAGTATATTTACAAATGAAATAGGAAATAATTTAAGACATGGTGTCACATACAGATGAGCTGAATTCATATGGCAGATGAGAACGTGTAGAAGCCAGGTTGGGCTTCTTTGCTGGGAGAAAGGAACAATGAGTAATATTTGAATTGGCAAAGTGGGGACAGTAGCGCTTTACACCCAACGAAGTGGGCGAGAGGAAGAAATGCAAGTGGGAAGGAAGGAAGGAAGACAGACTGACAGTGCAGAGTTTCCAGTCACAGCTCAGCTAAAAAAGTGAGACGCCAGGGCTAGACCCTGAATGCCTCTGATCCCAAGGTGATGCTACCTAACAAATCTCATTTCAGCCTTGAACTGAGACGCTCTTCACAAGTCCCCAACTCCACCAGAAGGAAGGTAGTAGCATTAGGAACAGAGTCCTGTTTCCTACCCTAAGACCAAGGGGGCAAAGATTTTTTTCTGAAATATATAGTTCACAAAGATGAAATATGAACCAAGTGGTAATGGAAAATGCCTTTAATCCCAACTCTCAGGAGGCAAAGGCAGCTGTATCTCTATGAGCTTAAGGCCAGCCTGGTCTGCAGGATGAATTCCAGGATAGCCAGGGCTACACAGAGAAATCCTTTCTCAAAAACCAAACCAAACAAAAACAAAACAAAACAAAAAAAAAAAAAAAGAAAGAAAAAAGAGAAATATCAATCGCAAAAGAAAAAAAAAGTAAAAGAAAAATTGAAAAATGAAGGCTGGCCTGGTGGCAAGGTCTTTAATCCCAATACCTAGGATTTCAAGTTCAAAGGCAATCTGGACTGTATAAAAAGGTATTGTCTCAAAATAAAAAAGCCTAAAGAAGAGAAAAACAGCACCTCAGAATGTGAATGTATTTGAAGATAGGAACTTTAATGAGCTAATAAATGAGGCCATTAGGTCTTAAACCATTATGCTTGGCCTCCTTAATAACAGGGGTGTTTGATGCCAACTGAGGTAGATTGTACATGTAATGCTAGCAATTGGAGGCTGATACAAGAGGATTTCGAGTTTGAGGTCTGTTGGGGCTATACTGTGTCAAGGGAGACAGTATTTGCACTGTCACCCCACCATGCCAATAAAGTTTATCTTTAATCAGGCCGGGCGTTGGTGGCGCACACCTTTAATCCCAGCACTCAGGAGGCAGAGGCAGGCGGATCTCTGTGAGTTCGAGGCCAGCCTGGTCTACAAAGTGAGTTCCAGGACAGCCTCCAAAGCCACAGAGAAACCCTGTCTTGAAAAACCCCAAAAAAAAAAAAAAAGTTTATCTTTAATCAGAGGGAAGGGCTATCTACTAGCTGACCAAAATTAGCCATAGAAGTTTTGGAGGGCCCAAGACACATAGAGAGATATGGAAAGTAGTAGGGAGGGGCTTAGAAATATTCATGGCCTTTTGGATTGAGGAAGAAGAGAGTGGAGGTCACTGGTCACTTCTCCGATGCTTCTCTGATCAATCAGATTTTAGCCCCATATCTGACTCCTGAATTTTTATTAATAATGGAATAATTTAGATAATCGTTCTAATACAGCAATACCTTGTAGTGAATTGGACTCAGACACATTAGGAGGAGGATGACGTGAAGTCATAGGAAGAAAAGAGCCAGGAAGAGACCACAGAGCCGATACCTACTAGTACTTGGTCCTGGACTTTTGAAATGGTGAAGGTTCAAAACAAAGGAAAGGTGACTGCTTTAACTTAAAGAGTTTATTGCAGTTAGGGTCTGCAGAGATGATGAAGTGGTTAAAAAGAGCAGATAAACGTCCATCACCATCAAGGCTGGTAAGGGTGGCAGGCAGGCATGGCAGCTGGCATAGGAAGCTGAGAGCTCCCATCTTCAGTTGCAAGCAAGAACCAGAGAGAGCAAACTGGGAATGGTGCCTGGCTTCTGAAACTCTCCAAGCCCACTTTCAGTAACACACTTGTTTCAACAAGTCCATACCTCTTAAGCCTCCCTAAGAATTTCCACCAACTGGGGACCGAGCATTCACATGCCTGAGACTATGAGGAAATCTCATACAAATTTATCAACCAAATTACAAGAAGAGAGGCTTTTAGCTGGGTCTCTAAAAACAAACAAACAAACAAACGGGAATTGGGCTTAGAACTGTTACTCCTTTTGTAGACTAGCAGAAGTTTCTTTATTTTTCCTTTGTTTTTTTGAGACAGGGTTTTTGACTCAAGCTAGCCTCCTGTCTCTTCAACCTCTTCAGTGATAGGATTATAGGTGTGTGATTTCTGGCCAGACCAAGAAATTTCAATGCTTATCATTTTATACAGTTTTGGCTTTCTTTACATTTCAAAATTTAAAATTGTCTGGATAGACTTCTCCCACGCTCAACATAGGAAAGTGCCTGCTCCTACTCAATTGCCTATGAATTTGTGTTCTTATAAGAATACAGCACATCCCAGGGGAACCAAAATCTTGAGAAGGGGCTATTTCCAATTAAAATAAGAAATTTCACCATAGACATAATATTCTGGGATATTTATTTTACTATCCTTAAGTTAAACATGGGCTAACTACCTAAGTTCCACGCTAACATTTACATGAAATAATTGAACCACTGAGGAAGGGGTAACATTTACTGCCTGACATAGCAGAGAAACACAGAGGCCTCTTGAGGTGAGCCTTTGGGATTGAGTGTGATTTGTCAGGCCAAGAGGGGATTCAGGGAAGAGAGACTGTCAAGCTTGAACAAATGGATACAAATGCCTCCTCTTTCAGACCTCTTCTTTCATACGCTGGGGGAAAATATCTGAAGTCACCAGAAAACAAGGGATAAAAATAATCATGTTGGTTTGAGAACAGAGTATTAAATGATCCTTGCTTGAAGTGAAACGCAAGCTGTATGAACAAGCAAGCAGATTAACCCTTTGACAACTGGACTTTATCTGTTTTGTGTTGCAAAAAACCCCCCAAACGAAAAAACAACAGTACAGCAAGACCACAGGATGGGTGGAGTTGTTATACTGTTCCTGCCTCAGGCAAACAAGCATTGCTTCAAGGTTAGGCTGTTACTGTCGGTACACAAATACACATCCACAAAAGCAGCCCCTTTCAGCTTTCTTATCTGCTGCATGCACTGACTCTAATAAACTGTTTTTTTTTTCCTGTTTGGCGAACTCTTTTCGCACTGGAGTCACTGGCCTGACACAGCCAGCCAGCACAGAAGGCTCAAATAGCTATTAAGTAAGACAATTCTTTAGTTCCTTGCCACAGCACATTGTAGATTCTCAATGAATGCTAGAATATAATATTAGCAAATGTTAATACAGTGAGTATAGCGGTAAGGCTCACTGAATTCTGGCTACATTTCTGCAACTATTTAAAGTGACTTGTTGGGCTGAGAGGCGCATCAGCGGTAAAGATTTCATGCTGCTTTTCCAAAGGAGCCCAGTATGCCTCCTGGCACCCACAGAACAGGTAACAGCACTCTTGCACATACCCACATGAGGACTACACATACAAGTTAAATAAAAAATAAATTTTACATATGCGCGCGCGCACATACACACACACACACGTATATTTGGTTTTTCGACACAGGGTTTCTCTGTGTAGCTTTGGAGGCTGTCCTGGACAGCTGGTCTTGAACTCACAGAGATCCGCCTGCCTCTGCCTCCCAAGTGCTAGGTTTAAAGGTGCTCGGCATCTTAAACAATTTTTAAAAGTTGCTTATGCAAAGCAGATTTTTTAAACTGTAAAATACTTTATAATGCTTTTACATAGTTCTGCCAGGTCCAGTAGTACAAAATTGTGAGAAACCAGGAAATAGAAACTGGAGTGTGGACGCTTCAATTCAGCTCCACTGATTTGCGAGATATAAGGAAGGAAGCAAGACAGGCCACGCCTATCGAAAGTCCTGACCCACCGGCAAGGCCAAGCTACCGCAGGCCTACTGCGCCAGGCGCTCCGGGGACTACCGCGGGGAAAGGCGTCAGCCCGGAGCCCAGCTCTCCAAGACTGGATCGGGGAACGCCGCCAGCCAGGTCTTAGGACCCCGCCCCACAGCCTACCCAGGCCGGCCCCAACTAGCGCGGCCTAGGAGACCCCTCACTTAGCCGAGATACTTTCCCGGCTTCCCCCCGCGCTGGGGCGTGATGCAACTTCCGGTCCCTGAACGCACGTGGGAGGAAGTACCGGTGCCCGCGGCTGCTGCTCCTGCCAGCCTCGTTGGTTACACTAGCCCGCTGGCCCGGCCGCTGCCCCGTGCCGCCCGCTGGTCATGGGAGTCCCGGCGTTCTTCCGCTGGCTCAGCCGCAAGTATCCGTCCATTATTGTCAACTGCGTGGAGGAGAAGGTGAGGAGGGCGTCAGTACGCCTTTGCGGGGACCCGACGCGGCACGTCCAGGCCGCGGCCCTATGAGACCGGGTGCCCGCCCCAGGCAGCCTCGCGGGTCGCTCCGCGGGTTCGCGGTTCCGGAGGCGGTCTGGGCTGAGCGAGCGAGAGTGGGGGGGGGGCTGTGAGGGTCTGGGCGACTCCTCCCCTGCCTGCCAAGCGGGGCACCCCGGGGCTCCGCCCACGGCTTTGTTTCCTTCATTGCCCGCGCAGCTCAGGCTCGGAAGGGCGCCCTGGCTGGGTAGCCCCCCTGCTCAGCGCGGGCTGCAGGGTTGTCAGGGTAGGGGCCGCTTGTTAGTCCACACGTGTGTTGCACTCGGCGTTCCTTGTGGCCGGATCGCGTGTTTCCTTCCCGAGCCTGGCGATTTGTTGCAGTTAACCGTACGCGCAGAGCTGCTAGTTCCGCAGAAACTTTCCGGATTCTCAAGTTGTGTTAGTTTGCTAATTTGGAGATAGACTTTTAGCTGTTCCGATTCGTGAGTTTTGCTTTCATCTTTCCGGTGATTCTGTCCGAGTTCGACTTTGTACTCTCAGTTAGAATTTCAGCATTGTAAAAGTTCCGTACACATGTGTCCCCTCCCACTTTTGGCTTTAGAACCGAGTTCACCGGTCTCTGAGAACCCATTTCTCCTGCTTTAGGTTATTTACTTTCTCATCTCCTGTCTTAGAAGAAACCAAAAGCTTTATTTTGGTGTCATTCCTAGTATTTCTTGTGTTCTCAAAAGACGAATTGCCAAGCTGAATCATTGTTGTAAAACTTTGTGTTCCCCGGGGCCAAAGGGAAAGCAACAGTTCCTTGTTCAGTCCTTTCCGGTCCAGTCTTCTCTTCAAAAACAGACACTTTGAACTGTTTGGTTCTATCTTTAAGTATATTTATATTCTACTTATCTGACTGAGGTCTATTTAATTCTAGGTAGAAGAGGAATTAGACATTTATTCACCACCACTCTGGCTTCTTAATGCTAATCCATATATCTGACGTTGGTAAAATTTTGTAATTTAACAGAGAATGCCTTTACATTTTTATCGCACCAAGATGTGGCGTATGCCTTTATTCCAGCACTTGGGAGCAGAGGCAGGCTGGTCTATGAGTTCCAGGTTCGCCTAGTCTATGTAGCAAGTTCAAAGCAAACCAAGGCTTACATGTGACACCCTCTTTCAAAACAAACAAAAATTCTATCAGCTGTACAAAGTATCATTTTACTAGCTTCTATACAAAGTATCCTTTTCTAGTTTCTAAGGTTGATGTTTTTTGTTTTTTGTTTCTCAAGCTCTCTTGTCTGTGGTCCACTGTATTTTTTAGTTCCCATTCAAAACTGTCAAAGCTTTGGCTACATGAACTTGGAGAGAAATGGTCTTGTGACTGTTATATACTGTGATTATCTTTGACTAGAGCTGACCCCTCACATCCCGCCACCTTTCACCCCTCGGTTGGGTGCACTTTATACCTTTCCCCATCCAACTTGCTTTATCATGCATCCTGTCAAGTCCTTTTTTTTCCATTGCGCCTCTTTTAAGTATTAATTTTTCCTTTGGGGAAAGTATCTTTCCGTTTAGCTTCAGACTCGACACCCACCCAGCCTCCTGAGTTGCTGGGATTACCATGTGCACTTCCACTCCCCCCTCAGAGTTGTCTGTATGTATTCTTCAGAACATTTTTTTCAGTATGCTTCCTGGAGGTGCTTCCTGGGAATTACTGTTTCCTGAATTTTATCTTTCTTGGCTTAAAGTTGTCCTTCCTTTTTTATTTTTAAATTGAATTCTTAGGAAATGTCACTGGGTGATCTGAGTTTTCTGTCAGTTTAGGTCCCAAAATACCTTTATTCTTTCCATGAATGATTGAGTCCAAGAAAAAACCAGTTCCCATGAAGATTTGGAAGCATTGTTTTCAGCTATTGTTGATGAAAAGTTCACTGTTAATTTTCCTTTATGACACTGCCTCACTATTTAGTTCTGGTTGGCCTGGAACTCAAAGACATCTGCCTGTTTCTGCTTCCCAAGTGCCAGGAGTAAAATTGCTGGTCACTAGGTCTGGCTTTTTATGTGATATTCGCTTATTTAACCAAGATTTTGGTAGCATTTACTGTGTATCAGATACTGTTCTGAGCACTTTATTGATACGAGGTTAAGTGCTTATAACAGCTGCTTATTACAGAGAGGAAAATTGAAAAGGAAGATTCAAGGTAACTTCTCCAGCTAATAAATGTCAGTACCAGTGTGAAAGCTAGGGAGGTCATACCCCTAACTTATGACCTCTCCTTTCATTCTTTGGAATTGATCAGTGTTTTATTTTTCATCATGCCGTTTGCACTCGTTTATATAATACTTAGATCCCATTCACTCTTCCTTTAAAGTGTCTTGTTTCCCTTTTGCTAATCTCATTCCTCCCAGCTAGTCCCCTTCTACACTGACTGTGTAAGCTGTGTGGTGATATGTTATTTATGATTTATTAAAGCTTGCCTGAGGATTCAGAAAGCTAAGTCAGCCACAAGCCTTAGAAGCCAGGCACACACCTTGAATCCAGGAGCCAGAAGCTCTACCCTTTAATCCGAGGACTCTGGTTTAAGAAGAGGTAGACGGATCTCTTAGTCCAAGGCCACCCAGATGTACACAAGATTGATCCAGTCCTAAAGAGAAACAGCTCACACAAAGATGAGCTCAGCACCTAGGATCACACACATTTAATCCCAGCATTAGGGAAGTATATAAGACAGGAACAAGGTCTCAGGATTGGGCATTCATTCTCCAGCCACATTGAGAATAGGAACACCCCAGCCCTGTCAGAGCTAAGAGTTAAGAGCTTGGCTTGTCTGCTTCCCTGATCTTTAACTTGAACCCCAATATCTGTCTCTGGGTCATTTATTGTGTTATAGAACTGCAAAGTTTAATTAGTGTTGTTTAGAAGAATGTGGATGAGAGCCTTCCTTCCTTCCTTCCTTTTGTGTGTATTTTTTTCAAGACCGTGTTTATCTGTGAAACTCTGGTTGTCCTAGAACTCACTCTGAAGACCAGGCTGGCCTGGAACTCAGAGATCTACCTGCCTCTGCTTCACAAGTGCTGAGATTAAAGGGGAGGGAGGGAGGGAGGGAGGGAGGGAGGGAGGGAGGGAGAGAGAGAGAGAGAGAGAGAGAGAGAGAGAGAGAGAGAGAGAGAGAGAGAGAGAGAGAGAATGTTCATGTGTATTGAGGACAGGAGTGGAGGGATAATAACATGTATGCCTTGGCATGTGTATGGAAGCCAGAGGACAACTTTGTGAAGTCAGTTTTTTTCTTTTAAGCAATCACCTTGGCATCTATGTTATCTATATAAAATCATTGCTCATTGACTTTCATGTTATATAGTTAGATTTTGAGATTAATTGATGTTACATCTCTTTATTTTTTAAACAAAGTATCTTTGTATAGTCCAGGCTTTCCAGGAACTCAATGATCTTCCTACTGGGTGCTGGGACTATAGGCATGCACTACTGTGCCCAGCTTCATTGAAGTTTTAAAAAATATGTGTTTGTTATATTAATGAATTTCATTATCACATTCTCAGTGTGTATATGCTATATGCAGTTTGCTCTTCTTTATTACTTCCCATTGTCTTCTTCCAGCAGAAGTCTACAATCCTCTTGAAAGAATGCATGGGTTATTTGTCTTAGCCTAGTTGTTGAGTGTAATTTCCAGTTCCATCTATTTTCCCGAAAGTGACATAATTCAGTCATCTTTGTGGTTTAATAATACTCCAGTGTGTATATGTACACATCTTTCTGTACACATGGAATTCTTAGGCTATTTTTTATAAACTGGATACTGTTTGTTCAGCATAATGTCTCAATAAATATGGATGTACAAATATTTCTGTTGTATTCTGGTTTGGATTCCTTCTAATGTATATTCAGGAGAGGTACAATAAATAGTTAAATCATATCATATGGTAGTTCTACCTTTTTCTCTTTTTCTTTTTTCTTTATTTTCTTTAGGAATCTCCATATTCATTTCCATAAAGGCTTTCCCTCTAGCTATGTGTGTCACCACTCCCCAGTATGCTTGCCAGCATATGATGTTTGATTTTCTTATGATAGCTATTCTCACTGGGGTGAAATCTCATTGTAGTTTTTATTTGCATTTCTTGATGATTAAGGATTTTCTTTTTCTTTTTTGGGTATTATTGCCATCTTTATCTTTTTTGGTTTCATGTGTGTGTTTGTATGAGTGCCCTCTGAGGCCACAAGAAGGCATTGGATTTCCTCTAGAGCTGGAGTTACAGGCAGTTGTGAAGCATTTCTTGGAACCAATCTTGAGTCCTCTATAAGAACAAGTGTCCTCAGCCTCTTAGCTGTCTCTTCACCCTCTCATTTGTCTGTTTTTTTTTTTCCTATAATTTCCTGGATGATTAGAGTCTTTGTGTGTGCTTTTGTCTTAAGATGTTTTCCTTATATTTTCTTTTGATAGTTGCAGAGGTCTAGTATTTAAGATTTTTTATCTATTTTGAATTTCTTTTGTACTGAATAAGAGACAGGGATCTGGTTTGTTCTTTTGTATGTAAATACTCAATTCTGCAGCATTGCTTGTTGAAGAGACTTTTTCTCAGGCATGGTTTTGGGCACTTTTGCCAAATGCACGATAGCTATTGCTATTGCTTTTTTTTTTTTTAATTTGTTTCTGGGTCCTCTATTTTC